TTTTTCATAACTCATGAAACGTTACAGTTTTTTGTTGAAGTTAGCTGTACTACTTCAAAACAATTTTTGACAACATTTCTCTTATGAATATGAGCTATGCATAGTTGTTTATCAGTGTTAAAAATATCAGTCCATTTGGTCAAAACATGGCAGAGATATGTATTCAAACTTTTCTTTGTTTTGTTATTTTCTGGACACATTGTATGTTGTGCTTATGTTACATCATTTAAAGTGCCTAGACTAGCGATTTTTTTGACGATTTTCAGATAAAATCACAATCAATTAAATAATATTCCTGATGATTCGATGTAGTCTTAGTATTGGTATCTATAATTACGACTATGTCTCGACGTATATATCAGTGTCATTTACCATCGTACTCATATATATTTCTTCTGAATGAGAAGAGAAATCTTTTGTTTCTCTTCATTCACAGCGAATAACAGAAAAAAAAATTTTGCAATAAACTAATACTTACCGTTCACTTTGATGATCAGATAATCTAAATAAAACAAAAAAATTCTTATTTCTTATTGCAATAAAGAAACCTACTGTTGAATGAGAGGATCAGATGATCTGAACAGAACAAAGCAGATATATGTATTTGTATATAATAATACTTATATTTCTCTTGTAATCAATGAATAAAAACTGATTTTATAATATCTATTTATATACGACTTTTTAGTGCCGTAATTGTATGACAACTGTGTGGGAGAAAAAGAAAATTGAAGGAAAATAACAAAAACGATATGGGAGAAAGAATAGTACAATTTCCCAACCCTAATAGATAAATACATATTAAGTCAATGATGACTCATAAAAAGTAATCAGGCTTCAACATTTTTCTTTTTTGTTCCCTGTTGATTTACTTTGCGTGTGTACATGTCTACACTCAACGATTTTATATTGATTGCGATATGGGAAAATATCTCTCACTTATGTTCGATTACTTTGTGAAGTAGCATTCAAGTATTTTTTTTCTTGGCTTCATTTAGCAAATATGTCTTACACGTAAAGGATATACGCATGATGACGATATATCATAATGAAAGCTTCATCTTGTCAAGACCATCAATGTTCTTATATTATCTGCTCGTTACTCACCTCTAAAAAAAATTGAGTATTCCCATTTATTCATCGAATAAAGTGCAAACAAGTGTGTAATATTTTCAAATATTTGTTGATTTAAACAGATAATCACAAACTACAATACTGTTTAAACAACAGCAGTAAATAATAATACTCGACAATAAAAATTATTTAGAGTGTGAGTGGGTGCGGGTGTGTTGTTGTAACTTTGTCAACATCCATATCCAACCATACCCAAGCCTCACACCCACACCAATACCCACACCAACATCCACACGCACACGCACACCCACACCCACATCCCACATCCATACCCACACCTCACACTCCCACCCACCCGCATCGAATCTCCCATTGCATTATATACCATTCCTACATTACTATAGGCAGTCGCCAAATTTGGATGGTTTGCTGGCAAAGCTTTTTGTTGAATTTCAAGTGATTTGATAAAGTAAGCGAGAGCAGTTGAATATGCACCGATGCAATGATGCACAGTACCAATATTTCAAAAAGTTGAAGCCAAATCGGGATGAGTAGGTGGAAGAATTTTTTTTTGAATCTCCAGTGCTTTTTCATAGTATTGAAGTGCATCAGAGGGATTCTCCATCGATTGATGAACAAAACCGATGTTATTATAAGTTGTAGCTAGATCCTCATGTATCGATGGGAGAGATTGTTGTTGAATTTCGAGGGCATTTTGATAGTTTTCTAATGTAGTAGAATAATTTCCGATGGAATCATATACAATGGCAATATTATTATAGGTTTTTGCTAAATCAGGATGTGTTGATGGAAAAACTTTCTGCTTGATTTCGAGTGCTCTATGAAAATCAGTAAGTGCAGCCTTCGGGTTACCTTTACTTTGATGAACATATCCCAGCTGACGGTAAAGATGCGCTAGAAGTTCCCAGTTTCTGGCTTGTGTTTTTTCGACGAGAGACTGAGAAAGCAGTTCAGCCTTGTCAAATTCACCCATCTTGATCATTAATGTACCCAATCTATAGTGACCTGTCGATCCCCGAGTCTCATGGCGGACATAATTAGTCAGAAGTTTTAGTTGTTCATCATCTTGATTTGTCAATGTTAACTTCACTTGCCATAACTCATCCCGATTTGTTGAATTTCACCAATGCGAAATATTGTATGCATGGAAAAAAGAACTTCCTTTTCTGAATCAGTATAATAGCTTATGTTGTCTAATGAAGCAAATGGTGTCGATGTCACGGAAGGATCAATGTCGATGCGACAGAAAACTCCTGTTAAATACGGATCATTCGATGAACTTTCGGCAAAAGCAAGAGAAACGTGTTCGTCTCGACTTGTTGATAGAAAATTATTGAATGCAAGAAGATCTCCTTGGCTGTTTTTCATTTTCTCAAATTCGCAATTTGACATACCTTGACCACGATAGACAATCGATATGGCCGTATCACGTGTTTTCTGAATATAACTGTTCAATTTGTCGATGACGAGCTTGCACGAAAAAACCAATTTTCAGTACAATTTCAATGTTTTGCGTTCTTAATGCTCTATTGAGAACTGAATAGATAAATGATTCTTTTGTATACCACCAAATAGGCGAATAAGAATAATAGTTGTGATCAAAATCATCAATTATACGTAATAGAGCAGTATTATCAGCATATGCATCATGACAATATTGAACAAATTGTTCTTTCGATTGTTCATCATGATCCATTTCGAGAATCATCTCTTTAAGCAATTGTGAGCACATGAACGGTGGATCAAGTTCATTCAAATGAGTGCTTGACATTTCAGGAGTAATACTGATTGATGTTAAATTTTGTTCATATTGTTGAGTTTTTTGTTTTATTGCAACACAAATGGTTGATATTTCCGTAAAGCTTCTTTCGAGTTTTCTCCAATTATTGGTCCATGTTGGTTCGACCTCGGTATTTTTCTCACTAGACAAGTATATAATATACACTCTTGAGATAAATCGTGAATGATTGGTACGATTATTTGATCAAGAGAGTTTGATACAATGAAAAACACTTTTTGATGCTGAATTTCAGACAAAAGTTCGACGCATGAATCAGGTTCATTAAATGTTTGGATATGATGAAACACAGTTCGATGCAACTTAGAGACATATTCATGCATATTATTGATATTGAAATCGAGCCACATGATGATCAAATTTTCTTCGATAAGAGCTGGCCGATCAGACAGCAGAGAAGTATTGATTGTACCAGCCATTATGGATATTAGTATTCAAAGACGTGCTTGTAATACACATATATTTATTCGTAATCCCTAGAGAAAGTACTGACGAGGGAACGTTCCCAAGTGATTAAAAGCTTTTGAGCTCATATGTT